CCCACCTCGCCTCCTCCTCCTCGCACGTGCCTGACGGAATGAGTTCATGGTGGCCGTCTCAACGCCGCAGTTGGCGCGCCGCTGTAGGCGCGATCAGCCCCGCGGTAGCGGGGGGGGAAGGCAGCTTGCACGCAAGACACGATGGAGGAATGTGGGCGCGATGGGCAAGCGGAGAGAATCAGAAGAAGGGCACCCGAGACCGAACCTGTCGCGCGGGTCAGACGGGGCGCGGGGGACTTGCAGAGCGCGAGCTAGGACAGAGCTGAAAACCGGGCCAGGCCAAGAGCGCGGGGGCGAATCGGCACTCTGAGAGCGAGAGACTGGACAACCGCTGAAACAGCATGGTTCAACATGTTGCTACATGGCGGCCGTGGGCCAGAAAACCGGTGATACTTTAACCGCCGCCGCCGCTTTGAAGGAAGGTAATGGGTTCATCGTCGACTTAATGTCGGGCCAGGGAAGGGCGCGGGCTTCTCTGAGAGACCGCGGGGGCCAACTGGAAAGTCTTCTAGCCCAAATCTCGCCACTAGTGTCCGCGCGAAGGTGCAGCCGCAATTCCCCCTACGAATCAATCTTTGAATTCTGACACGCGCGCGTCGCTCGCTCTTCGGGGGGGGGGGGGGGGCGAGAGCAGCAGCGGCAGCGACAGCAACTCTCGAGTGAGCGGAGCGGGAAGAGGTGAGGGGTGTGGCGACCGTCTCCTTCGGGAATGCTGCACGGACGCTCGCTAGAAATTCAGCGAATGCGCTTTGCTTCCAAATGTTTGGGTGGGGCGGTGGGCATGGGGGATCATTCAGCACTGCGTCATCTATGCGAGCTTCAGTAGCGTCCTGCAGGGAGGTGAGGACTTCGCGCAAAAACGATAGAGAGGTACTACTGGCTCTCACGAGAGCACCGCGGCACAAGGAAGTCAGGCACTGGAACTTCGGGCAACCCCAACTCTGCAGGCACAGTGGGCCCGATCTCGGCAAGGCAATGGGGGGTCTTGAGCAGACGAGCAATGGCGACGCTCTCCTGATGAGGGAGGGCCGATGGCGGCGGCATAAACAGAGCAATGCATCGAGAACAACTAGCGACCCGCGATTCGCATAAGTGGCCCATAGCCCCAGCAGGAGCACCCTTCCGCGCAATGGCGATGCCACGGAAAACCCATTCTGCGAACGGCTTTCTCCAAGATTCGTCGGCGACAGCAGGTCCGTGGCAGGCCCAGATATCCAAGCTGAAGGCGGATCGGAAAACAGGGCCAGTCAGGCAAATAGGAGGCGAGCCGCTCAGTTATGTCCGACGCGATCTGGTCGTCGGACGGGGCTCAGACAGGGGCAACAATGCACTTGGAGCGCTTGAGGATGAGGGCCGCGACTCCAGCCACGACGCTGAAGATGCGGTGGGGGGTGGCGATGGCGCCCAGCTGCTTCAAGGCTACCCCGATATCGTCAGCGCACGCTCTGATCTTGCCCGCTCCTCGGTCGCAAATTCAATGTTTCATGCCCAGAAGAAAAAGGATCGACACTGATGGCGAAGAGGGGGCCGGTTGCTGGGCGCCCTAGCGCGACCCCGCTGAGGGCCAGGTGCAGGAATGCGGTCTGCAGCGAGAAGATCCCGTAGCAGATGGCGCCCGAGTATAGCTCTGATACGAACGCCAGCAGCATCGGAAGAAGTGCGCATGATGCCAGTGCCTTCTGCAGCCAAGGATGGGCGAGGCTTGGCAGCGCCGCGCCATAGTCATGGCTTAATAGGACCGGTTCGAGCGAAAGCGCCAACAGGCTCGCTGAGCACAGGCGGGCATATCCGTCGAGTTCAACTACGTTCTGGCCGAAATTTCCACCTTGAGCAAAACCACGTTGCATGGTCATTGCACGTCGCATAGCTGGTCTGGGAGAGCTCGGGACAATCTCGAGAATGCAACAGCAGCCATGATCTCCACGTCCGCGTTCTTCAGTCCTGGAAGTCTAAGTCCCGAGGCGGGTCGAACACAACTGATGGACTCGCCCTCCTCCTCGATGGGTTTCGGAGCGAGAATGCCGAGCAGCGAGTTGAAACCGAGCGGCATGCGGCAACCTGGAAGTAACCACCAACAGGTCTTATCCAAAACCTGGCAGGCGCGAGGGATACGTTTCCAGGCGGCGTACGGGAGCTGGTCGGGACCTGGGGGCGAATCCGCGAGCCTCTGGAGGAAATGCTGGAAGTCCGCGAGGGTCGGGGGCGGCAGATCGGGAAGGTCGATGCGAGGCGCGACGCGCTCGAGATAGCTGTCAGCAGCGCGCTCATCAATAGTCTTCGGGCCAAGGACCTCGCCCCTATGGGGTGCGATCTCCGTCCTTATCTGAGACCCGTCCGCGACAGTTGTTCCGCTCGTCAAAAGGCGCCCAGAGGCGCGACCTCCGAGCCAGGTGGCGTAGACGCTTCTTCATATTCGCCCCCATGCCTGCGCTGTCAGACTGGGCCAGTCTCTGGCGCACCCGATGCTGCTCGCTCTCAGCGCCAGCCCACTGGAGAGCGTCGGCACGCGCAGAAAAGCCCGCTGGGTCGAAGAGGGGGAACTTCCTCCTCCTCCTCCTCCTCCTCCTCCTCCCCCCCCCCCTCCTCTTCTTCCTCCTCCTCTTCCACCTCCTCCTCCTAATCCCCCCCCTCCTCCTCCTGCTCAGCACCTCCCCATCCCCCTCCTTTTCGTCCTCATCCGCCGGTCCCTCTGCCATCCTCGCCCCCCCTCTCCACTTTCCTTTTCCTCCTCCTCCTCCTCGCCCCCCTCCCCCTCATATTCCTCCCCCTCGTATTCCCCCTCCTCCTCCTCCTCCTCCTCCTCCTCCTCACTATCATCTTCATCCTCCTGTTCTTCATCCTCTTCCTCATCCTCTTCATCCTCCTCTTCCTCCTCCTCCTCCTCCGATTCCGCCCCCATCATCCCCCCTTCTCGCGGCGCGCAGCGTTGCCCAACCATCTATTCCCCGGCGTTGCATTCTACATCCACGATCAGGCCAACTCGTCTGGGCATCGTTTCGCGATGGGCTGGCGGGGCTACGCGAACCGTCTAGAACTAAACCATATCCGCCTGGCCCTCTCGGCTGCATCCCTAGATCCCCTGAGCGCGCTCAGCCCCCCCCCCCCCCCCCCCCGCCACGCCACCCCCCTTGTCGCAGGCCATTTCAAGGCCGCCTTTCTCGGAGATGGAACGCGGATGGGGAGATGACGACGCGGTGCCCCCACGCGTCGGCGCCTTTCTCCAACCGCCTGCGGCCGCAACTCTCGCGCGCACACATCCAGGTGCCCCCTCGCGGCGGCGCCTCCTGGCTCGCGGCTTGATGGCGGCCGCCCTGCAGCGTGGAAACACGTGCATTTGATGGCTGTTCCCGCCGAAAACAATGACGAAGCCTGCCGCAGTTCCCAAACGCCCGTCCTTCAAGGTGGCCCCGTCGATCTTCCAAGTTGCCACAAGGGATCACTTGCCCATCCTTGCGGTTCGCAGGCTCCGCGTCCATGACGAGCTCGATGGCATTGGCTTTCTGCGCCGGCGACTACCTCTTCCGCGCGCTCCTCAGGCTGGGCCACCCAGACTTGAGTCTGGACATGCACGGCCTGCGACAAAACTCCGCGTCGTAATGCTTGTTTCTCCCGTGGCACCTGCAGCACGCGCGGCGGCACTGGCGCGGGAGGTCCGGGATTATGTTGACGAACGTTTGGGGGCTATCACTGCCCATGGTCTTGGCGACGTGCTCGCGTGCGACGATCGAGCTGATGTTATGGAAGAGTGGCGCCCCACCGCCCCCGCAATAATGGCACGTGGCCGCCATGTGCGCAATGACCTTGCCGCCCGTGAACATGGACGTGCCGTCGCCGACCCTGACCGCAGCCTCGCCCTGCACGTGATCCCTGCGGTACGTGTCTTCGCGGACCTCCTGCCAATCCTCGTCACCTGACTCCGAATGGGACCTTTTTCGCCTGGCGGCCCAGCTCCCGTCCCGAATGGTAGTGTGGAGCGCTGCCGCTCGCTTTCGCCCTGCCTCCGCGGTCATCTGTCTCGGCCCCTATATGCTTTCCTCCTGCGCGCTGGCATGGCAGGCGCCAAGGAGGATCCTCTCCTGTGTCCGCCGCGGCGCTGCGTCGAAGGCGCGGGCCCAAGGGCTAGCTTCAGTGCGAAACTGTTACTGTGAAACGGCCGAGCGCCTGAGCCCAAATTGACACACACACACACACACACGTCGGGCAAGGAAAAGGATCCACATTCGTGTTGGCACACGGGGCCGTAGCTGTGCATTGCAGATATGAATGCGACTACCCCTCCATATCTATATAGGTATATGAAAATACAAAAATTCCAATAGGACGAATAGCAACCATGATACTAAAACAAAACGAAGAACACTACTATAGCTGTGAATATGTCTAATCATGTGTGAGTATCGTTTTAGCGCGTTCACTCTCTAAGTATATAAATGTATGTGCATCCGCCGTCGCCACAAGTAATATGCACATGTGCGTACATGCGCCAATATCCATCTCCACCTCCTCACTCGTCTCTGCATCGTCCCCTTCATCGCTAGGCCGTCTTGCACCTTGCTGACAGCACCCCCACATTTCCAGCATAACAATGGAGAGGGGGTGGCAGGTGGTATGACACACTCCACGCGAGCGGTTTCGCCCCCCCCCTCCACTGCCAGTCGGGTGACACCCGAGCCGAACACAACGGGCACCGCGACCGTTCCCAGACGAGAAAGAGAGAGAGAGAGAGAGACAGACAGACAGAGACGGAGACGGAGGGAGGATGAGAACGACGCCAGCGCCGATGACAAGCGGAGTCGTGCGCGCTCCGCTAGGGAGCCCGCTCGTGCAGATCAGGGCATGGCGTGGAGGTTGCAGCCTCAGCAAAGAAGATGCGAATGTAACCAGAACCTGCCCGAGAAGCTTGCTGGCCGCTCATTGAGCTTAGTCACGGAGGGGGAGGATGTTTCGGATGATGAGAACGTGAACAGCACCACTGCGATCGGTAGATCCCTGGCGACAGCCTGGATCATCCTCGGGATCATCTCCTCGCTCCACGAAGAGGGTCCCAAGCTCGCGACGACCTGGCGCGAATGGGGGGAAAGAGGCAGGAGGCAGGTCATATGACTTGCGCGCGTCGTATGCAACAGCTTGACGTGCAAAGGAGGCGGGAGGCGGGGGAGGGGGGAGGAAGGGAGAAGGGAGGAAGAGGGAGGGAAAAGGTCTAGGGAGGGAGGAGAGAGAAGACGGCGGGAGGGAGGATCAAGCGGGAGGGGGAGGGAGGAAGGCGAGGAAGAAGGATGGAGAGAGTAAAGAGGAGAGAGGAAGATCAGGAGGGGAAGGGGGGAGGGCGGAGGGAAGGCGGAGGGAGGTAATTACTACCCTCGTCAAAATTAACCTCAACAGTTGCTGGCACGTCATTTCGATTTCGGCGCGCCCCTCAATGTCGACACGCCGCCCCTTCAATGTCGGGGCGAGGGCAAAGATAGTCTGACCGAAGTTGACTCGAAAGTTTGACGTCGACCGACATTGGAGGGGCGGCGCATGCAAGTACCCCGCACTCATCGATACTCGGCCCCAGATCTTCCGACAAGCAGTTCAACCACGTCAGACATTTTTGAGGCTAATTTTGACGAGGGTTGTAGGAGGGAGGAGGGCGGAGTGAAGACGGACTGGCTGACTGGTTGACGAGCCCCTGGCTCGGCGAGATCCCACATGAAGGTCTTTGAGGCGAGGAGGACAGGGCGGGAGGGGAGGAGGGGAACACGAGAAGGAAGGGGAAAAAGACAGTCTTGTCCTCTTGCTGCTTTTACTCTTACCACTCGTCCAATGTCGTAACCATTCTTCTCTCTCCCCGTCCTCCACCTCCGTGCTCGTACTCCACCTCGTTCTCATCCCTGTCCTCATCCTCGTCATCCTGCTCCTCCTCCTCCTCCGCAGCGGTGTCCTCCTCCATTTCCTCGTCCTCGTCCTGCTAATCCTCCTCCTCCTCCTCATCCTCCTCCCCCACTCCTCCCGCCACTTCTCCACCATCCCTATTTTTCCTGCATGCCCCCCTCTCTTCATCTACATCCCCTTGAAGGCGTTTCTTTATGTTCGGCGATGGCGGGCGTCATGGGGGGGGGGAGGGCGGGGGGGGTATGACGTGACGCCCCCCCCCCCGCCGTGTGGCTCCGGCACCACAGCCGCGCCCGCGCGCGCGACGCGACGAGCGACGAGCGACGACGACGACGACGCGAGCAGCATGTAACTGGCGATCTGCCCATTGCGCCTGTGTGCACTACAACGCTCGCGTACACCACGCCGCGCGTGTGCACCTCAGCGCCTGCGTACACCGCAACAGCCGTGTGCAACGCACCGCCCGTGTATACCACAATACTTGGGAGCACTACATCGCCGGTGTACATCCACCGCAGCAGCCATGTGCAACACAACGCGCGTGTACACCACAGTGCTTGCGTGCACCGCAGCGCCCGTGCACGCCACAGCGCCTGTCTACACCACAGCATCCGCGTGCAACGCAGCGCTGGTGTACACCACAGTGCCTGCGTGCATAGGACAGGTAGAAGGAGCATGTACGTCAGGATCTGATGCGGACAACTAAACGCCACGCCAGGAAAGTTCTGATAATCGAGTGCGACGTTTTTACCTTTTCCTTCCTCCTCCACCTCCTCCTCCTCCTCCTCGTCCTCCTTTTCCTCCTTCTTACCCCCTGTCGTGCGGCTTGGCGTTACAACGCACGTGCGCATCTCAGCGTGCACCGCAGAATGGTCGATTGAATCGGTCAACTCGGTTCTCGGACGGCCAGTTTAGCTGGAGCCTCCTGGACGCAAATGGGAGTTAGGGTGATGCGGACGGACTCGAGGGGACTCGTAGATTCCAGCGGCGCTCCTTTGTCCATGAGGGTTTGTTTTCCAGGCGCCGTGGCGTACACAGGCACTGCAATGCACGCAGGCATTGTGGTGTACACTGGTCCTGTGTTGCGCACGGCTGATGTGGTGTACGGAGGCGCTGTGGTGTACACAGGAACTGCTGTGCCCGCAGGCACGGTGGCACAAACTGACGCTGTGTTGCACGCGGCTGCTGTGGTGTACATCGGCGGTGTGGTGTACACAGGCGCTGTGGTGCACGCGGGCACTGTGATGTACACAGGCGTTGTTGTGCATATCGCCACCTACATGTTCGTGCTACCCGTCCTCCGTCATTTCTAACCATTCCCAAACGCCGCCGGCGCGAAACGTGGACGTCATCGACCTCCTCCCCCCCCCCCCAGATGATTGCCGTCATCGGCGCGGACTGAAAAATAGGCTCCAGCCGCGTCCGCGCGCACGACGACGATGAGCGACGAGCGACGAACCACGAGCGACGACGACGAACGACGACGACGACGACGACCTCGACGACGACGACGACGACGACGATGACGACGCCTGCGGACCAGACACCTATGCGGATTCCTACGCGGACACCTACGCGGATCCCAATGCGCACGTCGGCAGTGCCCGGAGAGCACTGGGGGGGGGAGCGTTACGTCATAGGGGGTGGGGAGCGGGGGCCATGACGCCCGTCATGCCCCTCGTCCTCCTCCTCCTCCTCCTCCTCCTCCTCCTCCTCCTCCTCCTCCTCCTCCCCCACTCCTCCCGCCACTTCTCCACCATCCCTATTTTCCCTGCCTGCTCCCCTCTCCTCATCCACATCCCCTTCTTCCTCCTCCTCCTCCTCCTCCTCGTGTTCCTCCCCCTCATCCTTCCTCACGCTAGTCCTCAAGCGAGACTGGTGCCTTAGTCTTCCGCCTGCTGTCGTCCAGCTCGCGCGGCTTGTTCGCCTGACACCGCGGGGAAGCGACACGGCCAAAGCAGTGGAGGAGGACCGGGAGGAAGAGGAAGCCGAAGGGGAGGAGGACGAGGGGGTGGACGAGGAAGAGGACGATGAGGAAGGAAGAGGACCAGGAGGACGAGGAGGAGCAGGAGGACGAGGAGGTCGACAAGGAGAGGACGAGACAAGACAAGACAAGACATCGCAATGGAGCTCTGAATCGATAATGAATCGCAAAATCGCTGAGCTCTGCGCGCTGCTTCTGCAGCTTGACCTCGTTCGATAACGCAGGAGGCCTGTCGAGCCCCGCCCGCGCGGCCCCATACTGAGCGGTCCCCCTCAAGTCGGCACGCAGCCTGGGAGGGGGGTGCCCAGCATCGGGGACCAACCTCAAACAACCGCACCCTCGCGGACAAACCTGATGGGACGAGCGGGGGCCCTCTCAGCCCCTTGCTCGGAGAAAGGAGGAGGAGGAGGATCAGACGAGAGGGGAGTGCAAGGTTGTCCAGGGTGCGAATTATCGCCTTTGGCCTTTCCTTTCCCCCCGCCCCCCCCGTCCCGCACGACGACTACGACCCCGCCCCTTCCCTCTAGTCGGCTCAGCTCGGGGGTGAACCATTACAGGGACGAGGGGGAAGGCGGGGTTGCTGTAGGTGGTAATCTCAACTTCTTGCTGAAGCACCTCCCTCGAAACCTCGCCTCTCTGTATTAAACTTTGCAACCGAGCGGAGCCTGCAAGATTACTCTGCGCTGACTGAGACAGGCGGCGGCGGGCGACAGCCCCAGGCTCAGGTGTTGTAGCTGAAGGTCCACTCTTCAACCTTCCCAGTCCCGAACTGACCGCCGATGTCGAAAGAGACTGTGGTGGTTCGGGCTCATCCGTGTCCAATGCCAACTCAGGAACATCATGGTACGACCACGGCGGCAATTCACTATTGTTACCAGCCACAGTGAGTAAACGCCGCACCTTCTCTTCGAAAGTCACTTGATCTGAGCACCGAGCCACCCTTCCGTCAGGCCGCGGGGTGCTGGGCCTAGGATCAGCACCGTCCACTCGATATCGCAGTGGTATTCCTTCATGATCGGCCACAGCACCCACGCCTCCTGACTGTCCTGAACATTCAAGTTGAGCGTCAGTACTCCCTTGCACTCCATCTGAGAGTCCACTCCATCCTTGGCTGTACGTGCCTTCTTGTACCTGCAATTGAGCAACAGGAGGCCGTGCTGCTGTGGCGTCTGCTTGTGCACAACCGACGCCCAGAACTCCGAGCCCTGCTCGTTGGGATGACTTCCTCCTTGTGCGAGTACGGGCAGCGCGACGCGTGGTGCACCTCTTGCCTTCCAGTCGATGGCCTCGCCGCTGTCCTGCTTTGCCTTGGGCTCCTTGCTCGTGGCGTCGTAATGTTTTTTTGCCCACGATGCAAGCCTGGCCCAAATCCGCTCCTTCGTCCACGAAATGATTCCGATAGGTGTTCGCCCCCAGCATCGCCAAGCGCCTCTCCAGGCCGACCACGAGCCTCGCCATGCCCTGGGACATCTGCTCCAAATGCGCCATCGTGTCCTTCTTGGCTGCGTTGCGCTTGGGCTCCGCCGACCCTGGGGCACCTGTGCGCGCCGTCTGCTCCATCCAAGAGGGCCTGGGCGGCAGCGACATCACGAGGTTGAGCACGGGGCTTAACATCTCGAGGCCTGGGAGGCTTGACCCTTAATGGCAGGTGCAACTGTAAATGTAGGCGAAGCATCTCGTAGCTGGCCCCATCGAACTCGCAGATCGGGCACCTGTAACTGTCTGGTTCGGTGAAGGATGCGTTAGACGAGGCCCCGCGAGGATCACAACAACCCCTTAGGAGAGCGCTCTGCAAATGCCTGCTGGCAGTGACCTGAGTGGCGCACGTTCTGTTGCACACTATGCACGCGCTCGGCGGAGTAAGCACGTGTGCGGTATTAAGTACTCGGTGCCTATGCCGTAGGTGTTCTGTGAGTGCTCTCCTCGTCTCGAACCTGGCCCCGCAATCGGCCCCCTCGTGTATGCGCGTGCAGACGAAGGGCTTCTCGACGGGCCCGTCCTCCTCGTCCTCCACCTCCTCGGCCTCCTCCACGATTCCTGGCGGGGCGATCTGGCACGAGAAAACCGATGCGCGATACTCAGAAAAGCCGAGGTTGACGAATTCGCGAATCATATCCTCATCGTCGCCGTCGGGTAGCTTCCAGGGAGAATGAGCCAGGGCAAGCAGCAGTTCTTCGCGATCATGAATAGCAGCAGCAGCAGCAGCCTGGAGGTCCGATCGCATCTGAAAGAGCCAGGGGGACGCGTACTGGGAGAGACCTAAATCGGCTGAGCAGGGGTCCCTATCTTCCGATTCGAAGTCGAGGAGCGAGAAGAGAACAATCCATATCTGCTTGTTTACCTGCGGACGGAGTGCCCACGCCTGGTACCAGACCAGTCGACGGGTGCGCAGCTCCACTGAACAAGGAGCCACACGCCAGAATGCAAGAACTTGTGAATTCGAAAGCCTCTGCATATGCTGGGGCCCCTGCCACGTCGCCGAGCCGCCCATAGCAATCCGTCCTAACTTAGCGATGTGCGCGTCCATACGAGAATATTGGTGGTCGCTCAGGCAGAAGCACTCCATGGCTGACAGCATCGTGTTCTGGACCAGTGAGAGGAAAAGAGTACGCTTCCATCTCCGCGGGATTCGCAGCGACCAGACGCCTCCAAGCCCGTAGAATGCTGAGTTCGTCGCCGAGAATCGGCGCTCCAGCTCGTGAGATGTGTTCTGAGAAGGGGATACCACTGGTCCGAGATAACGAGCAACGTCCACGACCGTACCAGCCACACGGCCTGGTTTACCCATCCACTGCTTGCAAGCCGAGGCCTCGACCCCAGAGAAGAAACTGGTGACCCGCTTGTCTCTGTTCTGCTTCATGCCGTCCAACGCCAAAGCTGCGTCCAGGATGTCATCGGCTTTCTTGAGCTCAGCACTGACCTCATGCATAGTGCTGCCGACCTTGAAGAGTAATGTTCTGTGAAGATCGTCGGCGTACGAGCAATGCGAGAGGTCAACTTCATCGTCGTCAGGTAGAGCTCCACAAAGTAGGTGCGTTCCCGATTTAGACTTCATCGCCGCCGACCAGTACGTCGCGGGCCTCGTAAAAGAGCCCAGGAATGCACTGACAATGAACGGGTCCCCCATCAAGCCGCCAACTTGTGGCTTCATGTAGAAGGTCCCCTCGTCTCCCTGCGTTTCGATAACCCCATCGCGATAGTGTCGCTTGCAGAGGTTCCAATCTTCTGGCTTAGCACAGTCCTCCACCGTCGAGTCGAAAGTTGCCCAAGATACGCTGCCAAATGCATTGGGTAAATCTTTCATCGCATTGGCGAAGCTCACCTGCGACTGTCTCAATCTCCACGAAAGGCACTGAGTAACTAAAATTGCTCCTTCGCGTCGTTTATGCTTGGCGAAACCGTAGGCCTGTAGTGGCACCCGAACATTTAGACGTTTGGCAAAGAACCCCTTGCTGACAACAGGAAGCGCGTGGATAACTCGCTTGCCCAGGGCTCCAGACTTCGCATTGCCCTTCGAGGGTCCGTGGCCCAGGCTGCGGGACCAGTGCAATGGGGCGAGATCAGTACGTCGTATCGTAGCAAGCCCAAGCAAGACCATCTCCTTAAAGGCGTCCATATTGACCTCCCCCGTCTCGCAGCCCAGTCCGATGTGCTCCCCTTTGGTAGCCTTGTCCGCTGAGAAGCACAAATCCCATAGCTCCGCGGGTGTAGTTCCCACAGGTACCGCTCGTCGCTTAGTAGTCTTCCGAAAGTAAGGGGTGAGGCCAGCGTAATCTTCTGCCGCTCGATAGGTTGGCTCACTGACCTCCCAAGCCTGCACCTGTGGAACAGGGCGCAAATCACGTTGTTGTCGCCACTCACTCCAGTCAACTTCCGTAGCCAGCACGCCTCCTGAGCCACCTTCCAGCTGCCAGACGTCAAGCCAAGCCTTCTTACTAAGCGTAGTGATGCCCAGTCTCCGTCCATCTCTGTGTCGGGCGCCGAACCGACATCGAGCAGCTTGGCGAGAGAGGCGGGCAGCTTCATGCATGCGTCGACCACGCCATGCTTCGCGTACTTGTTCCACCAGAAGCTCTTTGGACAGCAGCACTGATCGCTTGCGTTGTCGCTGAAGCTGGCGAGAAAGATCTTTCAATTGCTGCTCTATCTGGCTCAGTCGGTCACTCTCGTGGGTGCGTCCTGGAACTGAGTTTTGCGGTCCCAAGGCGCCCCCGAAGGCGGCCCCAGACGCGGGCAGTCGAGGCGAGCTCGGCACGCCAAGGGACGACGAAGTCCCCTTTTCCCATCGCCGCCCTGGTCTCTCGAGGCTCATCGTTCTGATCGCCATTGGGGGGTGCGTTCTGATCGCGGATGGCATTTGGCCTGCATCCGACGTTGGGCCCCAGTTCCAGCGAAACAGCCGAAGTCCCCGTAGTCGCACAGGTAAGAGACGAAGAACAGCCGCCGACATCTGCCCGCGATCGTCGAAGTGCAGCGCGTGCTTCCAGTAACCTTCGGCGATCCGCACAATCTTCAGGTCGAGGTGCGCGGGGTGGCTGCTTGAAATGGATGTTGCCCGCCGTCGTCATGATGGTCTCCAACTTCTCCCAACGGGCGCCAGGCGAATTCTGGTCAGCCAAAGATCGCAGATGCTCTTCATTTTCCCTCAATTGTTGTGTGACTTCTCGTAAAAACTCTGACTTCTTCTCGCCTCTCAAGATGGCCGCCATCATCGCATCTCCGCTCAGTCGCATCGGCGGCGCGGGTGGCAGGGCCCCGGCGTCCTTCTCGTTGCAGAGTTCGAGCAGGACTGGGATGTGATCTCGAGGGGGGATGCCTCTGATCGGCTGTAGCGTGTCACCCAAGTCGCGCACAATGTGACTGCGTCGAAGGCGCTCAAGCCACCCCCTAGGAAGAAACCAATAGTCAATCATACTGCCCGTGGACGGGTTGCCAGAGGACCA